GCTTTTAAGACGTTTCTTTCTAGTAACACGTTTAGCTTTTTGGCTTTTAAGACGTCCCTTTTTAGTACCACATTTAGGTTTTAGGATTTTAAGGCGTCCCTTTCTAGTAACACATTTAGTTTTTATGATTTTATGACGTCCCTCTCTAGAAACACGTTTAGCTTTTAGGATTTTAAGACGTCCCTTTCTAGTAACACGTTCAGCTTTTAGGCTTTTAAGACGTTTCTTTCTAGTAACACGTTTAGCTTTTTGGATTTTAAGACATCCCTTTCTAGTAACACGTTTAGTTTATAGACTTTTAAGACGTCCCTTTCTATTAACCCGTTTAGCTTTTTGGATTTTAAGGCGTTCCTTTCTAGTAACACGTTTAGCTTTTAGGATTTTAAGCCATCCCTTTCTAGTAACACGTTTAGCTTTTAGGATTTTAAGACGTCCCTTTCTAGAAACACGTTTAGCTTTAGGATTTTAAGACGTCCCTTTCTAGTAACACGTTCAGCTTTTAGGCTTTTAAGACGTTTCTTTCTAGTAACACGTTTAGCTTTTTGGATACTAAGACATCCCTTTCTAGTAACACGTTTAGTTTATAGACTTTTAAGACGTCCCTTTCTAGTAACCCGTTTAGTTTATAGGATTTTAAGGCGTTCCTTTCTAGTAACACGTTTAGTTTTTATGATTTTAAAACGTTCCTTTCTAGTAACACGTTTAGCTTTTAGGATTTTAAGGCATCCCTTTCAAGTAACACTTTTAGCTTATAGGTTTTTAAGGCGTCCCTTTCTAGTAACACGTTTAGATTTTAAATGTTTCTTTTAAGTCGCCATTTTCTCTCAATACATCTAAAATTTCGCAAATATTTTTGTTCACATTGATGGTTTCCTTAATTTCAAAGTTATTTCTAGTCAACAATTTTTCAATTTCAGCCAGATGTAATTTATCTTTGGAGGTATCACAATCAGTTCAGCCGTTTTGACGTATATCATGCATAAAGTACAGACAGACCAAATTTTTATTTATATTGTTTTTTTAGGGGGGGGGGGGTTTAAATTTGTTAAAATTCGGCAGGTGACGAATTTGTTATATTTCGACATCCGAGTCAAACTTTTAATGCGTATTATCTTGACAGTAAATGATCAAATTATCAATATATTATCAATACCTTGCAGGATCCTCATATTCTAATAATTTCAGGTCGTCTTTACAGTCTCATCATTTATGGGAAGCCCTGTATATAATACTTAACCAAGGTTGCATATTGATCATTCTGGCAAATCATTTTTTTGCAATTACCCGAGCTTTATTAATCAAGTTAATTGGATACTTGCTGAAACTTGGTTTGCGAATAAAAATGGTTACATATATTTTTAATTTTTTGTCTAAACTTAAGTTAAAATATTCTCGTTTTTTTTTCATTTAAAAATTCAAAATTTAAAATAGTTGTCTCTCTATCAAAGTAACTTGAAATAATTTGAAAGACACCTAAAAATCCCTTTGCATATTAAAGATAGCATGCAGTAAGTTCGCATGCCTTGCCAATAATCAATCCCTGATATGTATAATCGTAAATTATTGCTTGATATTTTCAGATATTTGCTTATTTTGGGAAATATGCTGGACGTACTTTAATACTTAATATTGTTACTAAAAATATGGGATCTACTATCAAACATATACAATATTTATATATATATTATATATATTTGAACAAGCTCACATGTTTCACAACTACTAATCTTGATAATTTTAATATGTTGGATAAAGAGAATATATGGGGGGGGGGATCAATATCGTCAAGGAATAAATTTTGATTTCAAGATTTCTGCCAAAAAATTTTTTGATTAAGTTTATTAAATTTTTTTCTCTATTTTACAATCTCTCTCAAAAACTTGTTTTTTTTGCATTTAAAAAGCAGGATGCATTAAAATTAGCTTAACAGGACAAAGATAAAATATTGCAAGTTATCTTGGAATATTTTTAACGAACAAAATAGAAATTGACTTTTTATAGAGAAAACTTGGAAAACACTTGAAGGGCGATTTTTTTCTTACTTTTTTGGATAATTAAATATAACATTTGTTCGCCGATTAAAAACCAAAACGAATTAGAACTGTTATTAAACGAAAAACAGAAAAACTAAAACCAAAATTAAATGTAGATAACATGCATAAAACGAAGTCTAAAAAATGGTTGAAAAAAGCGTTCAATGCTTTATTTTAAACTAAAAAAATGTACCCCCCTCGCCCCCCTCCAAAAAACAAACATTTTAAATCAAGATTAAAAAATTTTTGATAAAAATGCCCTTTTAATGTGAAAAAACCTAAAATGTCAATCCTGAGCAATGCGAGTTTTTTTAGCAACAATTTCTTTAACAAGGTGCAAGTCAGAGCAAAAACTATTTATAAAATTTCTGGAAAGTTTTATAATAAGAAAAATATGTTTAGGGGTTGAAAATAAAAAATTAGCCGTTGAGAAAATGTTGCTACAAATGCAGTAAGTTTTAGCAATAATAATATGCAAAATTTGTATTATTCTTCTAATATTCATAACTGAAAAATAATGGTTTGTCTTACCAGTACGATTTTTTTATTGTGGCATTCTAACAGATAACTTTTAAATTTTTACAGATATATTATTCAGCTAAAGTTCAAGTTTTGCGCTATTATTGAGCATGTTGCGAATGGAAGTTTAAGTTTAGAATATTCTGTATTTTACTTGATCTTTAATTCAGAAAGAAATAGGGGGAAAAATTGATTTTGAAGAAATTGTATAACTTTAATATTGTTCGTAGAACTGTAAATTGTTATGAAAATGTTGCGAAAGTTAGTAAATTTGCATTAACTTTTGCAAATATTGGATTGTTTCGCGAGGTTTATTCATAAATAATATTCCCTGAATTAGGCAGGGGGAATCTGGTGACAGAAGTTGGAAATAATAATCAATCATTTACACTTTTATGACCTTAATAGATAGATGTAGTGAATCTAAATCAAACATTGCACGTATTTGTTTATTATTTAAATAGAGTTACCGGCAATGTATGGTTTTGAACTGAGATTGCAGTATTATTGAGAATTTTTTTAGGATTTATTTGAGACCTAGGAGACGTTTTTACGGGGCATATTTGTTTAGCAAGAGCGCAAATGCAGTCTTTAAAGTCCTTAAAGATTGTCTTGGAGGGATGATTTTGAGAATCGGTTTTATTTAAATTATTCAACATGGCGACCACGAAAAAGGTAATATAAAAATATACAGTAAACTAATTAGTTGTTCAGGAACAGGTTGAGAAAATAGAAATTAACTCTTATCATCGAAAATCACCAATCTATTCAGTTATTAGTTTCTGTATAAATGTCTCTAATGTTTAAAATCATTTTCTGTAGATTTCCTGGAATTTTTAATGAAAAGACGACATTTGAAGAATTTGAAGACATCTGCAAAAAAATTTATAAAGAATAAGAAAATTAATATAATGATGAAAAAAAACAATTGATTCTGACATTGATTTATTGACAAATTTCTAATGAGATATATGTTCCAAAACGTCTATAATTAGTTTACTGTAGAAATTTTGTTGCATTTTTCTTCGTCGTTTTGAATAATTTTTATAAAACCGATTCTCAAAATTATCCCTGCAAAGTTGACAATAAATGAGGATTAATATAATGAATTTGCGCTCTTTCTGAACAAATATTTGATTTAAAAACGTCTGATTATAGGTCTGAAATGAATCATAAAAAAAATAAATGAGGATTAATATAATGAATTTGCGCTCTTTCTGAACAAATATTTGATTTAAAAAACGTCTGATTATAGGTCTGAAATGAATCATAAAAAATTTCTCCATAATACTGCAAACTCAGTTCAACTACCATACATTGCCGGCCAATCCCTTTAAAGAGGGCAGTGCCCGATTTACAACGGTACCCTTTAAACCTTTGCGCGTTCGTCGAGTACAGAGATATATGTCAGTAAACTTATCGAACGTAGATTGTTTGATAAATTAACGAGGTCTTTTACGTTTTTATTGGATTTTGAGTAAAAAATTATCGATTGAACATTTTTTTGGTTTAATTTAGTTTTTGATAGACGCACGCATTTTTCACTCAAAATTTGATGTCGTGTCCATCTTCTATTTCAACTTTTAATTAGGGTTTATCTGTGATCATCTTTTCTTTGCACAGTATAAAAAAAATTTTGTGGATTTTATAATCTATCTATATATAAATTTGGCTTGTTTGTCTGTCTGTTTGTTTGTCTGTTTGTTTGTTTGTATCCAATAAACGTCAAAACGGCTGAACCGATCGGGCCCAAATTTTTTGTGGGACATCTAGGTACCCCAGGGAAGGTTTATGAATGATCAAAATTTTAAATATTTGTCTCCATCAAAATTCGATCTTCATTAAATTTTTGAAAATTTTGAAAATCCACGAAATTTTTTGTGAAAATCCGCGAACTATTTTTGTTTTGTTTTACGATGTGCACAAAGAGAACATGTTCACAATTAATTTAGAAGATGGGCGCAAAGCGCCCTCTAAGGCTAGTATTCAAAATTTTACAAAAATAAAAAACTTTTAAACACAAATTTTTGAAATTTTGATCATTCATAAACCTTCCCTGGGCCCCCGGGGTCACGGAGGTCCCGCTCAAAATTTCAGCCCGATCTGTTCAGCCGTTTTGACGTTTATTGGATACAAATAGGCATACAGACAAGCAAAGTATATATATGATATTTTTGCATATTTTAATTTTGTATGTTTTTGTTTTATTTAATAAAAGTGATGTACATTTATTACACTTACATACTTACTATTTATAACGTTTTATACTTTTTTTGATGTGCTATACGTCAATTTAATCTTAAATTGTACATGGCCTTTATGTTAAACTTTTTTTCGACTAATCCTTATATAACAAACATAGTTTAGTATTTTCTTTTTAAAAATATAAAATTGCTTTAATATGATTTTTTTCTAACTTTTCAGAAAATATGTGCAACACGTATTAATCATAATTTTTAACATCAATTTCTATCTATCAATTAAAAGATAATCTTAATATTTGACGAATAAAATACACAAAAAAATGGCCGCCGTTTCTCATTTGAAGAACAAGAAAGAGGCGAAAATGCGGGAAGCTGTGGAAAAGGTTTGTGTTTTATTTTTAAAAGATGTGTGAGGGGGGATTTCAGAGAAATCCTTGGATACCTTGGATTGCTCGCCACAAACTTTAATTTACTTATCCCTAAAACATTGCAGCCTAATGTTGCAAACCTAGGATATTTCATCGGAATTCATAAAGTGAAAAATCAGAGGGCAAATATATTAGACAAATTAGAGTTTGTGACGAGTTTCAGTTTCTTTTATCTCTCATGTTTTAGGTGATGTCTAAGTGTGGAGGGGGAGGGGGACCTATATCTGTGAAAAGTCTCCTAGAAGTTCTCAACGCAAACAAAATTCAACCAGACTCTAGGGAAATGGCAAAAATAGAAAAGTATTTTTTTATTATATAGTTTTTATTATCATTTTTAACATTATTATTATTACCAGATTATCGGATGATCATGGAAATATAGACAGACAGGAATTCATGGACTTTGCTAAAAAATCTTCTCTTATCAAGGTATTGAATCTTTTCTCCTTTTTGAGTTTTGACTATATTTGTATTATCAGTAAATGATGTATGTTTTCAGAGGTTATTTTTCAGTTATTGGTCTAGGTATCAGCAATTCAATTATTTAATCCTTGTTTTAATGGAACCTTTTTTCTAAAGGAAACACAAGAACACTTGCTATTAGTTAAATGTTAGTTTTGGTGTTGAATAAAAAAAAAACCTTATTACAGTATCAGCTGGGCTTTAACTAAACTTAACGAAATTCTTTATAAGTTTTAATTAACGTCTCTTTTCGTTATTTTTTAATACCGTTTGTTATAAGTATTTTCTAAATATTTCCATTGGTAAACAGAATTTTGTCAAGGCTTAGCTTTATTTTCAAAATTTGGCAAAGGTCATTTGGTGATATGAATTTTAATTCTATTATAATAAAAATTACTGTGTAGCTGTTCTTTGTAAAACGTTCAGAAATAATTAATGCGTCAAAACATCAATATTTAATCCTTAATCAACAGTTTTCATGACTATAATATTCGTGATTAAAGAAGACAGAAATCAAAGTGTCTAATGGAAAGGGTATTTTAGCTGAATCCTATAAATAATTAATAAATAATGACTCAAATCATTAGAAACCATATTAATCGTTTGCTTTTTCGAATTCCAAAGTATCAAATGCAAAAATAACGATATACAAAAAATTATTTTTTTGTGAAGAACTAAAATGTTGCTTATATTTTATTTAAAAACATTCCTTTTTACCTGTGTCACGTGTGTAAGACAACAACAAGAAAAACTTCAGTTAGAAATATTAAACATACAAACATAGCATCTAAATTACTTTTACTAAAAAGCATTTTTAGAGTTATTGGGACTGTAACCGTAGTTTAAAGTGACCCTCCGTGCAAAGATGACAATGCTCGATTCACACCTGTCCCGTAAAAACTTTGTCTGGTCAATAATTATGTGGAAGATAAAGACGTTTTTTAGGCTTTAAAGTGACTAATTCTGATAATTCGTATATGTTTTCCTGCAGTAAAAATGCGTAAGATATCCTTTGTAAAGAAACCACAATTAAAAATAACCAGCTTGGATTTGATACCTAATCTGTACTTGATCAGACCAAACTTCTAACGGTACTTGTGTAAATCGGTCATTGCAATAACGTGACGACTTGTAAATTACGATAACAGTGACTGTACGGCCTATTTTTAAAGTTTTTTTTAGTATTTTCCACTATAATTTCTTATTAGATTAAATAAACAAAAATGGAAAGCAATGGGAATTCTAAAAATTGATTTTATACATTTAAATTTTTGTACCTGAATATACATGTAAATAGAAAAAATATTTTTTTATTTTCAATTTTTAAATAGTTTGTTTACATAGCGAGGTTTGCGTGTGGAATGCTTCTAACTTGAAAGTTTCTGCAATATTGTAAATTAATTCAAATAAAGAAGATTAAAGTAAATATATTTTGTCTATTCAAACTTTACCTGTTATAAGTTCTAGAAAGTTCAAAGGAACTGAAAACTCTCCTCAAACTCTAATTTTCTAATTATCATATATCTTTGCAACCGTTTATATCTCCAACCTTAAAGAGACTGTTAGCGTTTTAAGTGACCCTTCATTTGTAGAGGGGCTTTTTCGATACCCAACAGTACCTTTTAAACATTTGACTTTGACTTATTAATCTGCAGAAATGCTTTGACCTTCACTTTCTAGAAGTGGAAGAAATGTACTTTCGATTTTTTTTAAAACAGCTTTAAATGTAAAATATTCGATAAAATGTATATGATCTATTTTAACAGGATTCATAGCGTGACATCACAGTTGTACGACATTAGGTTGCAAAAATTAGAGACTGAAAAATAAAAAAAGGGTTTCGTGTTTCTATGTCATTATATGAATATTTCTTTCTTCCATAAAATATTGCCGATTAAGAAATGTATTTATTGTATATAAACAAGGTATGCGTGCAATAGATCGTCTATAGATTTCTTTATAATAAATATGTATTCAGTTTCCTATAGATTGTATCATATCATTAATATATTTATATAGAAAAGCATAAGGTTTATTTTCATGCCAAATATGAGATAATCATCATAATTATCACCATAAAACACAAAATATTGGATTTTTTATGTCACTTCAAATATTCTGTAAAAACGAGGTTCAAATAAAATAAAATAATGTTTATCTTGATTCTTGATATTAAATCGAACAATTTAAGCTTAAAAATCAGTGAAAAGCCAAAAGGTTCCATAAAAACTAAATTTACTTATGTTTCATATTTTTGTTCCGTTTTCAAGTCATCTTTTTTTATAAAGATATGTTTACCTAAATTTTGCTAAGCAGTAGTACTTAGTAGAAAATTCCCAAAAACCCTTTCCTAAAGATTTATTACCATGAAAGGAATTTGATTAGATTCTTAATTTTATTATGTATATTATGTATATCATGTATATTATATGTTTATACATAATTCACATGTTTTTCATTCATAACTCCCTTTATAATAGAGCTATTGAGATGAAAACAAATGTTTAAAATTTCTAATATAGGCTTTAAGGGCGCTTCGCGCCCATCTTCTATTTTATTTTTAAACATTTTCTCTTTGTAGAAATAATAAATTAAATTTGCGGATTTTATAAAAAAAATTTCGTCGATTTTCAAAATTTTCAAAAAATGTCGTTTTGGTGTTTATCGGACACAAACAGACAAACAAACTGACAAACAAACAAGAAAAGTATATATGAATGTAGAAAATATGTACATCATTTCATTCAGACAAGTTTTAAACCTCTACATATATTTTCTCCGTTCTCAAAAAAATTGTGCAGAATTTTCTGTTTTAATTATTGCATTTCCAAAAATAATAGATGTCAACATGTTTTCCATCTATATATAAATTTGGCTTGTCTGTTTGGGTGTACGTCTGTTTGAATCCAATAAACGTCAAAACGGCTGAACCGATCGGGCCCAAATTTTTTGTGGGACGTCACATGACCACAGGGAAGGTTTATGAATGATAAAAATTTTAAAAAAATGTGTTTTAAAGGTTTTTTAATTTTGTAAAAAAAATTAAATTTTTGAAAATCCGTGATTTTTTTTTTAAAAATCCGCATAGCGCCCTAAAAGCCTAGAAAAAAGGGCGTGAAGCGCCTTGAATTTCTAGTACATTAGATTTAAATTTAATTGTTCACTGACCTTCTTTGGACTCATCAGAGCTTCCACAAAATAATGTGGCCCGATCGGTTCAGCCGTTTTGACGTTGGATACAAAAAAGAGAAAAAAAGGGCAAAGGAATTGAGTCTTTGCCACAAACTCTGATTTTCTAATCCCTATATCTTTGGATTCCAACGTCGTAAACCTTTGACATTTTAAACTATGACTTTTGTTAGATCAAATAATATAAGTTTGAAATATCAAAGGTTCACGACATTGGGTTCCAAAGATATTGGGATTAGAAAATCAGAGTTTGTGGCAAAGAATCAATTCCTTTGTAAATAGATTTTACTTAAAATACTTGAATACTACTTGAATGCTTTTCCCTGATTAGTTTTCCGACATTTGTTTGCAGAAATAAAATACATCAAGTGCTTATTTTCTTTTGAACAAATACAAGCTTTTACTTTTTTTCTGGTTAGAGATTAAAAATTATTCCGATTTAAAAATAGATGAATATGTCTAATTTAATAGACCTGTACACCTGGAAATAAGATTTATCCGGTTATAAATTAAAAGTCAAAAAAAAATTAAAAAAATTGTGTTTATGTTAGTTTAATTCAACGTAACGTTTACTATAATTTGACTGTGAATTACATAGAAATCTTGATTTATAGAGTATGCATGTCCAGTTCAAAAGGCGTTACCCTTTAATCGACCTTGTCTAGCTTCGTCAATCGGATGCCACTCTTTTTAATCGAACTTTACTTGAAATAACTACTGAGTTCCTTTATTTTTTTTTTAAAGATACGTTAGTGAAAAATTTGCAAATTAACAAATTGATATCTTTTCAATTTTCTATTGCAATCTCTTTTTTTCAGGAGTTTCTTGACTCGGAGAGAACAAAAAACATTGACAAAGCAGAAATTGCTTTCAAGGTGAGATACAAAATCTGCTTTTCTAATCGCTCCTGTGTTTTTGCAACACAACGGTTTAGAACTTGGAAACATTATAGGTTTACTCCATCTAGGACCGAATTTAATTAATTTGAGCTACGTCACTGAACTACCAATGCCGGTTCAAATTTGAACCACCGATTCAAATTTAAAGATTAAGGAAGGATTTAATTATGTAATTCAAATTTGAACCGGCTGTTGGCAGTTAAAACTCATTAAATTCAGTCCCAGGTTGCAAAGATATAAGGATGAGAAAATATGAATTTGTGACAAAGACTTAAGTCCATATCTCTGTATAACGCCATGGTTTTTAATTTTTTGAGTCCACCTCCATGGGAGCAATGGGACACTTTGATGGCAAGATATACTTTGTGTATATTTTAAGTATTGCTAAAAGACTTTTAGTTTTTACTTGTTCCCTAAATACAGTATTACTCATAAAGAATAAGACTGTAAAGAAGACATCTATAAATCTGTCTTCTTTACAGTCTTATTTAAACTTTATTTTATACTTGCATATTTTCTGTCAAATATTTTTTTTTTAGGTTTTAACTTACAATTTTTACTTCTTGATATTTCAAACTTAAGATTAATGATTTTTGCTTATGAAAATAAAGAAAAAAGATTAGTCATTGAAAGTTTTACTTTAAAACAAAAAAAGAGATCCTTTAAACCAAGAACACAGAGAATTTAAAGTAATGGGAAATAGATTAAATGAACATTAGAAGAAAAACCTTTTAACAAATAAGCTCGAAGATGACTTTAACAAATGACACGAAATGTGAAAGTTCATGTCATCATTAAAACCATAAAACTGTTTTTAATTAAGGACTTTACAGTTGGATATAAACTTTAATGCACGACATGGTATTATATTTACAAAAAAAAAGACCAGACAAGACCTCATTAAAAATAATTATAATTTTTTCAAAAGGCGGCACATTTCGACATTTTTGAAATTGACATTTTTTAGATGAGTCAAAAAGTATATAGGCTTCCAAAAGATTATTCAAAATTTACTTCTTGGCAGTTCAAAATTCACCAAATAAATAAGTAAATGAAAATCTGTCAAATTTTATAAGTGAAGCTGCATAAAGTACCGTAAGTGAGGGGGGGGGGCAACGGTACAAGGAAGATCAAATTAAAGGTGAAATAAGTGCTTTTAAACTGTGAAAAAGAGTTTTGCCCCCCCCCCCGCTCCCCTACAAAAAAATGTGCGTTTCAGGCATGGCTTCATGAACAAAACAAAAACTATTAGGCAAAGTTTTCGCCTAAGTCTTTAAAATTTGATAAATCATTCTCGTTTAATTAAGAACATGAATTCTTGTCAAATTTTAAACCTTGAACTTAAATAAAAAATTGCAAATCAAACGTTATTTTTTTGTTTGTTTGTATCCAATAAACGTCAAAATGGCTGAACCGATCGGGCCCAAATTTTTTTAAGTTTTGAAATTTTTCTTTACTAGCTGTAGTTCATTTTATCTTCGTACATTACTTAAATAAGAATTTCAAATTTCAATTTTATTTTTTGGCGAATTTTCAAAAATTGGAAATTTGAATTCTTTAACACAAAAATTTATTGGATTCCAACCCGACAAAAATACAGGACTAAATTTGATTAGAGTAGGACCCAATAAACTGTGGAATAGGAGGATCCATTGCAAGAAAGGAATTGAGTTTTTGCCACAAACTCTGATTTTCTATTTTCAATATCGTTGCAACCCAATGTCGTAGACCTTTAATATTTCAAACTATGAATGCTATTAGATCAAATAATGTAAGTTTGAAATATCAAAGGTTTACATCATAATTTTGCAAAGATATAGGTTTTACAAAAACTGAATTTTTGGCTAAGACTTAATTCCTAGGTTTTGTTTTGATATTGCTTAAAAGCAAAGAGTTTTATACCGGACCGGTGCTTGAAAATTGGCTATTTGGGTGTACACTGCAAATGTTCTGTGCTTTACATTTCTTGTACTATTTGGAAATCATAAATTAAGTATAAAAGTCGTTTTCCTAATTCACAGTTTTATGAATCTTACTGTAGACACATTAATATAATATAATAATTTAATGATTTAGGCAATAGATCGAGATAACAGTGGGTACATTGATGCAGGGGAACTCGGTAAACTTGGCGCAAAAATGAACAAGGAACATTTTTAAAATGTTAAAAAAGCAACAAAATTTATTTTATTTATAAAAAATTTATTTTGTCTCTTAATAGAACATTTAATTGTTCTGCACTGCTTCATAACAAAATTCAGCATTTGAAGAAAACTAGCATTGTTTTAATCAAACACAGAAAACTATTGTTAAATCAATTTCAATAATTTCTCTTGTTTTCTTTAAAATATTTGATTTCAGCATTAGTTAGTAGATACAATTAAAGAGTAAATAAGTAAAACAAGGGTAAAAAAATTATTCAATGTTATCATCTGGTCATACAGTATTTTTTATTCTTAATCGAATTCCAGGTTATAAGGTTGTGTTGTGAAAAACTTGAATGTTTTGCTTGTTGAAAAGTTTTTAATACTAGTTGATTTTTTAAAAAAGCATTTTAAGTGTTCATTGCATAGGATCAAAGAGATGCACTGATGACGAAACTAGACAAAGACGGAGATGGGAAAATAACTCTTGATGAGTTCAGAACTCTCTTTAAATAAAACTTTAATTCTTCCCCTTTCTCCCGATACACCTTTTTATCTATATATCAATCCCTGTTCTGAAACCTGACCAATTTATCGTAGTCCTGACTCTGATTTTGGTCTTGATCAGTCATGATCTAGATCTGTCCTGATCCAGATCTGGACTTGATCTATTCTAGTCCTGATCCTGATCCCAAAGCTGATCATACTCCTGATCCTGATCCAACCCCTGATCTTTGGTTTAATCCTGATCCTGATCCATAGATCCGTATCCTTGGATTGATCTTGATCTAGATCTAGAATTTGATTTGATCCTAAAATGATCCTGATCATTAAATCTGGATCCTGATTCTTATTCTGATCAAGATTAAAATCAAAATTTCAAGCTAAATTAAAAACTGATGTATATAAGTTGTATACGACCCTTTGATCATTAAAATATGTATGTTTATAAAATGAAGACCCTCTTTAACATTTTATTTTGTCAGCTTTATATGCTGTACTTAAAAAGTCGGCGGTAAATAAAAGATTAGTTTTAACGTGTGTGAGTTAAATATTTAAAAATTCTATCCCCGCTTTAATATATCAAAAGTGACTATTTTACAGGAAAGTATAGATTTAAAACAAAAATACTTGTTGACAGTTTATATAAATATAAGTTATTGTGTGCTCTGATCAATTAATAAATAATGTAAAACTATAATTTTGTTTAATTAGATTAGAAATATAAAGAGTTTAAAGGGACTGTTAGCGTGACCCTCCATGTATTCCCTTATTCAAAACGGTTCCCTTGAAATCAGATCAATATTGTGGAACATAGTATCGTTTTCTAGATTTAAGTTTAATTAGTTTAATTCTGATTGTAAATAATTATTTTTTTTAAATCGTAAACATTGATATCTAGTTTATCCTTGATCAAACATATGTTTAAAGGGTATCGTAGCGAATCGGACGTTAACATCTTTGCATGGAGGGTCACTTAAAACTAAGCCTACTGCCCTATTTTTAAGGTCCGTCAAAGCAACCATAGACCTGGTATTTGATGCAACCTCTCCTTTTTGATGTCTCTCCATAAAGTTCTGAGTTTAGGACTTCCTATATAAACCTTGAATTTCAGGAAGCTATAAGATAAATGATTTTTTCTTCTGAACGGATAAATTTTCGATTATTCGACAAAGTTCTACACAAAAAAACGCTAATTCCTTTTTTTATGTCACCCTGTATATATATATATATATATATATATATATTCATACATAAACGAAGAAATGTATTATGTATAGATGTAATAATCGTAATTGCAGACATTTATTAATCATTTTCGCAGACTTCCAAAAACGTATATAACGGCCATGCAATACGCAGACCAAATGTTGTTTTATGCAAGATTTTTAGTATAAAAAGTAAATTTAATTGAAAAAAATCGTTAATTCTAAATAAGGGTCTTACTATGCAGAGAATTAATGAATATATATTGCTTGATTTAACCCTTGATAGAATAATTTAGTTTTTTATTGAAAAAGTTAAATGGAAAAAATGTTTTTTTTTTAAAGTTTTAATTTACATTCAGTAACCTCGAGGTTTTCTCAAAAAATTCTCCGAATCTTTAATTTTTATAAACCTTGATTCTTTACACATTTGAATTTGTACGCCTGTTTAAAGTTTATATAACGAACTAAATTTTTAATAAAGAGAAGGACAATTTAGTCAACAAAGGAAATGAGTTCTTGCCCCAAACTTAATTCATTTAATCCGTATATCTTTGCAACCCGAAGTCGTGATATTTGTTATTTCAAACTATGAATGTTGTTAGATCTAATAACATACGTTTGAAATATTATAGGTTTACATCATCAGGTTGCTAAGATAAAGTAATAACAAATTTTTAGTTTGTTGTAAGAACTCATTTCCTTTTAGTTGATTAAAAAACATGGAAAATTACAAAAACAACATTTTTTATCCCCTCTGTCTTGAAAAATCCCCCTTGGAACTTTATAAAAGCTTTTTTTTAAATAGTTAAAATTAAGAGTAAGAGAGTAAAAAGTGACCCCACTTTCTCCTGTTACGACTTAAACACTAACATTTTTCCAAGGAGGGGTCCCCTTAATATTCTGTAAAAGGGTCCCTTTCCCCCACCACTTGCACTGGTTAAATATGAAAGCATAAACGTATTGAAAACCTTTCAGGTTTTGTTGCCTTTTATTACTATTTATAATTATTGTAATAATAAGCTTTATAAATTGTTAATATTCCAATAAAGCAGTTCAATGCGTGAATACTGCTAATAAAGAAAACCAGTTTGTTATTGTTTCTTTTAAATGTACTCCAAGTGCTTTAAACCCATTGATAAAGTTTTTGTCTTTTAAGAGACGCTTGACGTAATTTCAAGTGACCTTCATTTTAAAGAGTTATATGCCTAATTCACAACGATGCTCTTTATCCTTTCCTTGCAGATTAAACAACAAAGATATCTTTGTGTTTTTTGTCTAGAAAGGTTTATATAGAGAAGCACTCTTGAAATAAGAAACTTGCAGATATGTTTATTGTTTACAGTTTAAATATTTTGTAAATGTAACAAAGTAAAAGCACGCTGTACAAAATGTACCAGTCTTAGAGAACTAAAATTGTTCAAATAGAATATAAAGAATAATTTTTATTCGTTAAATGTTTTATTTTTAAAAATTTAAAACATTTTTGGAAAAATGTGAAGAATTCTTGTAAAATCTCAACCAAGGGAGAGTTCATCTATATCAGAATACCTAGAAAAGAAAAAAAACGTGGCATTAAAAAATAATTAGTGNCGTGTAATATTTTTTGGATTTTTTCTGAATTAAATTTATTATGATATTACTTTTATATAAATAAATATTAACCTGAAATCAGGGGAATATTCTTTCTCATCAGATACAGCATCATGGAACGAGAGAGTTGCATCATCATCATCATCATCATCATCATCTGCATCAATAGCTCCAGCAGCAGTAATGTTATTGTGATGCATTGCATCATGAACGGATACTCTGTTCAACAAGTCCTTCCCCTAAACATAAAGGAAACATGAAGCAATAAATTAGCGTAAATTCAAAATTATACAGAAATACAAAATACAGTCAATTTTACAGAGAAAGTCCAATTGAAAATAGTCAGTTTTAAAAATTACAAACATCGATTCATGATTGATAACACAAATATTTTTAGGTACCGTTGTGAATCGGACATTGAAATCTTTGCATGGAGGGTTACATAAAATTACGATTACAGTCCCTTTAAAAATAATGAGGACTGAGAAATAAATACAACTATTTTTTCTTCCCTCTTTGAAAGCAATAAATCAATTTCTTGTTAGAACCATTTCCGATATTCTCGGCTTTAACAATAAAGTTCTACAACTATCATTATTAAGTTTTATTTCTCAAGTTAGACAATAATTCAAAAGTTTTCTGTAAGACCAGGTTAGCTGTACTATATTTAAGCTGTGTCTCTAATTTACTACGTGTAATAAAGTATTACAAAGTTGATACACCTGCAACTGTTAGTTCAGCTTGTCTTGCATGTACTTTTTATTCAAAATTAATTTTTAACTTTAGTTTTTTTAACATTGACTTGTTTAAAATCAAAAAGCAATAACTGCCTTTGTTAAAAAGGTAATTTAAAAAAGAGCTAATATACAAAATTTGAATTTGATCTAAATATCATCCAAAGGAATTTAGGAATAAAAGAATTTATTCTTTGTCGCACATAATACTTTTCTAAATTCCTATATCTTTGCAACCTGATACCGAACAACCTTAAACGTTTAAACTTAGATTTTTGATCTAATATAATTCATAGTTTGAAATTGTTTATGACATTGGATTGCAAAGATATAAGAATAAGATAATCATAGTTTGTGATAAAGACTCAATTCCTTTTATAAGTATAGATAGATAAGTTAGGGGCGCGCCGCAGGCGAAACATTTTTTTTGACCTAAAAAACTGAAGAATGAAAATTAATGTATGTATGTAGACTTAAAACTAGGATTTAGTTTATTAAGTTTAGATATTTAGCCTGTTTTTGTTTCCTTAGTTGCTTTTGAATAATTTTGAATAATAATATTTGCATCAAAACAAAAAAATGGAGGTATGAGATGAAGAAATTTGAGCAAATAAATGTAATACTAAAAACTTTTGAATCACGGATAGCCAGTACTTTTTTTAATACAGGGAAAATAAATTATGTAAAATGTCTGTAAAGATCAAGACAAGCTCAAGCATGATCATCTTCAGTTTTCTCAAATCTAAAATTCGAAGAAAAAACTCCCCTGCAAGCTTGAGAATGAGAAAAAACAGTTTCTCCTAAACCTGGCCATATTTTGTTTTCAATTTTTATTTGTCGCCATGTTACTTTATGCTTTAGTTTGTTAGAATCATGAATCTAATAAAAGAAGGGAAAAGAACAAGCTTCTCAAAATAAAAAATGTATGTAAACCCTATCATTTCACAAGATTACAATTAATGTAAACCCTATCATTTCACAGGATAAAAAAAATTTCCAAAAAAAATCTTTCAGAAAGCAATAAACTTTTAACAATAATTTTTTTCCTTCTTTTTTCGTTTCCTTCTTTACATTTTTTCATTTTCTTCTTTTTTGTCTCAAAAAGTGTGTCCCCCTGTACCCCTCCCCTTCGGAGTAAAGGGGGGGGGGCACGTGCCCCCCCTAGCTACGGGCTTGCTTCATTTCTTAATTTTATTTATCGGGCTGCTATGAGTTTCGATCTCAAAATATCTGAGAGGATTTAGATCAAGCCTTAGGACAACAAATGATATGGCTAACTCTTTGATCCCAGGGTTCACATCAACACAAAGAGTTTGACTTCAGTGCATTGTACTGTAGTAAGTTGAATATATTGTTATATTTGAGTTTGTAACCAATGTACGTTTTCCGTGGATAGGATTTATTTCTGCTGTAAATCATATATTTTAGAACAAGATATCCTCCCTTCCAACCCCTAGCTGTAACCTCAGATAATATTCTATACATTACATACATTCTACCTTCATTCTATCGGTATTCTATCCTTATTTTACTTTAGTTCTGCCTTCATTTTGTAGTAAACACATACTCCATAACAAGTTCTCGAACGTTCAGATAAAATCCGTCCGCTATAAAACTCAACCAGGAATGAATCCTAGGCTCTAAATGCCACACAGGGACACAAGCGTAGCTATCAAACAAGCTATATATATCGATCCCAAATGATGGGGACAATCCAACCTGTTTATATATTACCACGGGGTTTCAGTGCTTCAATGCCACACAAGGACACAAGCCTAGCTATACAACAAGCTATATATCGATCCCAAATAATGGGGACAATCCAACCTGTTTATATATTAACACGGGGTTTCAGTGCTTCAATGCCAAACAAGGACACAAGCTTAGCTATAGAACAAGCTATATATCGATCCCAAATGATGGGGACAATCCAACCTGTTTATATATTACCACGGGGTTTCAGTGCTTCAATGCCACACAAGGACACAAGCCTAGCTATACAACAAGCATACCCTCTTTCTATCCTGATTCTACCCTTATTATACCCTTAAGATAGCCTTATTATAACCTCATTTTACCCTCTTTCTACCCTTATTTTATCCTTATGTTACTCTTCCAATTACTTCTTATAACTATTGATAGCGAACCGCTTCTCTTCTGCTTGAGCAGACGCACAAGGGAAGTGGTTAATCTACATATGTGTGGCTCAGCTAAATCTAGCTCAATTTATAAAATATGATCCCTATAAAGTCATTTTCATTATTTCTTTTCCTACAATATCAAGAAAGCCTTCAGAGAACGAAGTTTTCAATTTAAAATATAATTCTAACTTTTTAAATTGTTTATGAAGGTAAATTTTAAATATATTAAAGGGACCGTTCACTTATTTGGATAATTTCAGGGTAAACTAAACAGCCTATTCGCTCTTGATTGGTATTAGTCTTACTTTTTAAAGACAACTGTGGCCGGAGAAAAAACCGATTTTTCGTTCAGAATTTGAGCGGAAAGGGACGGTCCCTCTCTATAGACACTATTTGATGTTTTTTTTTTCGGTAACAGCAGCCCAATAACATTTAAATTTATTATATTTTAATGTCATTATGTGTCGTTATTATGTACTAAAATATGAACACTTTTGATATTTGAGTTAGCAAGAAATTTACGTTTTTCGTATTAAAACATGTGTATACAAGACGACGTCTCCACGACAATCAATTAATCATTACTCGTATTTTGGTTCGTAGATTTTGTAGATTTTTTCCCGTATGTGCACAACTTTTCATTTGTCATGCCGCGTTCAATTCTGCTTTTTACACAGGCAATACACAATTTTGAATGCAATAAAATAGTGTTATTTTAGAAATAGAAAGTTAAAACACAAAAAAAATTTAAAAGATAAAGACATTTACATTAATGACGATTAGATACTACAGTTTAATTTTATATTCGAAATTTATTTTGATTCACAACATACTGAAAAAACATCAATTAGTGTGTATAGAGGGACCGTCCCTTTGCGGTCGAATTCTAAACGAAAAATCGGCTTTTTCTCCGGCCACAGTTGTCTTTTAAAAGTAAGACTGTTACTAATCAACAGCAAATAGGCTGTTTAGTTTACCCTGAAATTACCCAAATAAGTGAGCGGTCCCTTTAAGTTTATAAAATCGAGGAAAAATGATGAATATTCCAATTTACTTTTTGATTAATGTCACGTCAGTTAAAGGAAATTGTCAAAAGGAAAATTAATCAGTATATCTTTATGTTAAAGCAATACTGAGTTTATCAATATCATTTTGATGTAAGTAAGTCTACAAACTTTATTTAATTTATTCAAGTATTTATCAGTAGGAAGAATGGATGAACATTAGAAACATTAACAGAAATTTACCGAAAAGAAAAAAACAAAAGAACCGTTGCGTTAGTTTTCAATTCGTTAATGAACACACAAAAAGGAATTGAGTCTTTGCTAAAAATTCATATTTTCTAGTCCCTATATCTTTACAGCCTGATGGTGTAATCCTATGATGTCTAAACTTAGATTATTTGATTATATTTTTGCAACTTGTTGGTTTGGACCTTTGATATTCGACCATGTTGACATGTACGTAGTGCTCGGGAAGCTGTTAACATAAAAGTAGGAGTATCAGTAGAAATTTTCTTTTGTATTTAATTACTTGAAAAAAGACTTGCAGAGCGATACTGCGATCATGAAAATGTCAGAAATTAAAAATTACTTTAGTGTTACTCAGATAGATGTTGAAAGAGTACCATTGTAATTCAAACATGCCATTATTTAAAGAAGAGTCACTTAAGAATTAGGTCTATGGAAGCATATGAAAACTAACTGGAAATAAAAAAGACCTACCCACGACGAACCTAATAAAATGTTGATTTGAAAACATAATCCCCCAGCTCAACCCCCACAACA